GAGGGGGAAAGGGTCCTACCAACTTCCTGTTTCCATGGTTTATAAAGGCTGCAGTTCCTGTGTCCTGATATCCCCTCTGATTGGTCAATATTCCCTTTCAAATTGGTTACTATAGTGATTCCCGAGGCAAATTCTCCCTCATAGTCCTTCCATTCCTCTTGGGATTTTTTCCTCCTTCTTTATTTTGTAAATATAGACCAGTGATGGCGAACCTTTTGAACTCGGCGTGTCAGCATTTTGAAAAACCCTAACTTAACTCTGGTGCCGTGTCACATATAGAAATTTTTTGATATTTGCAACCATAGTAAAACAAAGACTTATATTTTTGATATTTATTTTATATATTTAAATGCCATTTAACAAAGAAAAATCAACCGAAAAAATGAGTTCGCGTGTCACCTCTGACATGCGTGTCATAGGTTCGCCATCACTGATACAGACCTTTTTTGGTTATTTCCAGTTCCCTTGTCTTATGGAAATGTATCTGCACCTGGCTTCCTTGTGTTATGGAAATGTACCTTCTCCCAGTCTTAGCCCTGTGTTTTCCATGGACCCCAATTCTAAAATTTCCCTAAGCCTGCCTATGTTCCCCTAAAGTTCCTGTTTCAGTGGGGGAAGTTACACTAAGGTGATAGAAATTCATGTTCATCTACTCAGTGTAGAATGGCTAATCCACTTTGTTGTGTTCCTTAAAATGATAAAAAAAAAATGCCTTTTACACAAGAAGAGGACGTCAAAGAGTGTGTCCAGCTATGGTTGTATGTTCTTTGGGCCAAACGAAGTCTTGTGTGATCGAGATTCCTTATGCCACTGTTGCCTACTCATTCCTAAAGGTCAAGAAATTCAACACAGAACAAAACAAACAAATAAACAACAAAAAAATTCAAAGATATTCTTAACCTTTCTTTGAACATTTAAAATTAATGGAGAAGATCATATCCTATATAATAAGAGGTAATATGCAAATTGACCCTCACGCCCTTGCATCGCAAGATGGCTGCTCCATGTTGTCATGTTGCCACCCCCATGTCATCACAAGATGGCCTTCCCCACATCATCACAAGATGGTCACCCCCATGTTGTCACAAGATGGCCAGCAAGGGAGGGCAGTTGGGGGGGACCAAGCCTGCAGGGGAGGGCAGTTTGGGGACAATCAGGCTGACAGGGGAGCAGTTAAGTGTCAATAAGACTGGCAGGGGAGCAGTTAGGACGTAATCAGGCTGGCAGGCAGAAGCAGTTAGGGGCAATCAGGCAGGCAGGCAGGCAAGTGGTTAGGAGCCAGCAGTCCCAGATTGTGAGAGGGATGTCCGATTGACCATTTAGGACATCCAGCAGTCGGACATTCCCTGAGGGGTCCCAGATTGGATAGGGTGCAGGCTGGGCTGAGGAACACCCTGTAGTGCACAAATTTCATGCACTGGACCTCTAGTTATTATATAAGCTCACATTTATGAATTTTGATCACAACCTGGCCTTTGATGTGTGGTGATCTCTATATCTATTCTTCGACTGCCTCCCTTTCCCTTTTCCCACAAACTTGGATGACTAAGTACAATTCACTTATTCATTCTCAGAAGTGTAAATGCTTCTCAAAAGCAATGTGATCCCTTGTGTTCTGCTTTTTAGAAAATGATTGTGGCTATGGGTTTCAAACACTGTTTATTCTCTCCTTTCTAATGGCAAGCCTTTTAAGTGTAGACTGTCTCTCCTAGCTGAGGGTATAACTGTGCTAGGGTGACAGTAGCCCATTCCATTGGCCCTTGTCTGCAACTGGCCAGACCATCCTCCAGGCTGTGCAAAATCCTCACCAAGGAGTCCCTCGCATGTGCTCTCAGACCAGCCCAGTCAGGTGCCATATGGCACCTGCCAGACATTGCTTTTGTTACCTCTGCTGGGAAACGTCTGCCCACCAGGCATCTTCTGGGCACCAGTGCCATGGCCACTGTGCACCGCAATGTTGGCAGTGTGTCGGCACGATGGCTGGGCACTTCTGCTGCTGTCATTCACTAACGCCACGTCTGCCAAGCCTGCTGACATCACCCGCCAGGCTCAACAGTGGGCCACCTGGTCCTGCGGCGTCTGCCATCTCTTTCCAAGAGCTGCTGGAAAGGAATCCTCAAAATTTAAACCTTTCAGGTGGTCTGTGAAAACATGGGAAGAATGAGCCCCACTTCTTCTCTTAATATTAAACAGTGGAACCCTAGAACCCTGGTTCTCAAAATTAGTTCATCCTTGAAGGCTGTTGGAGAAGCAATTTTTTGGAAAATAGAATCGTTTTTTCCCCATTAGAAATAATATAAACTGAATTAATTCACTCCAGACCCCCAAATGGTTCCCTGTTTTAATCTTTCTTATATACACTATACATATAATGTACTGTTTAGTCCATAAACAAACACTTATTGCCTCAAATTTATAGAACCACCCCCTCCTGGCCTTAAGAGAACCACTTTCAGTACCCATTCCAGGGGGCCTTTCTGGAGGTCAGTATGCATCATCTGCCCGCCCACATGTCACTGCTTCTGAGATGCTGTCACCTGCTCACTGCTTTTTCTTCATCCAAATCAGCTACAGTTTTTCTCCCCCTTCAATTGCCTGTGATCGTTGTTTCTTTCACACCCTTAGCAACATTTGCACTCTTGATGGCCTCTACATGTTTTAAAATTGTGCTCATCATCCATTTCAGCCAGCAACAAAAGCAAAAAAACAAACAAACAAAAACAAAAAAACCCCTAAAATCACAAAAATATTCACAGCACAATTTCCTGAGATGTTAACAAGGCAAGGCTTAGCTGTAAACGGACTCATCTAGGCACATTCTCTCCTTTGTGGCATGAGAGGCTCTTTGTTATGCTGATGTGTCAGCATGGAAGGGTTGTCAGGTCCAGAAAGGAAGTTAACTGAGGCTTTTTTTCCATGAACAACTTGGTGGAGAACCAAATTGTTTCAGAGGGAGGGAGTTGAGAGCCAAGGTTTGACTGTGCTCCAACAGAGGGATCCTAATGTACCATCTGATTTCTTACTGTGTTCTACTGACATTTGTTCATTTCTAATTCAAAACCCTGTTTTTGCCTAAGCAGTCCTTGGCCTGGGCTGCGCTGGGTGGGCCTGGGGAAGTTAGCTCCCAGGCACTATAAGCTGTCTGTGTATTCAGAGTGGCTCTGAAGGGGAACATAAGACATTTGGGGGGCTAGCTATCTGAATCTGTGCCAGTAACCTGCCTTCTGACGTATACCCTCGCTTGCCGATAAATGATAAACGTACACTCTTGCTTGCCGATAAACTCCATTCTTATCAAACTCCCTTCTTATCCGTGATGCCTGTCCTGCCTTGCAGAACCTGTTTCCCGGAATACTCCCATTTTACAGATTCCATAAGCCATGAACCATATACAATCCCCGGGGGGGCTGGCTGCAGTGCTGGCAAGCCTCTGGGTATGGTCTCACTTCCCCCATCCCAGCACACGGGGGGCTGCAAAGCCGGCAAGGGTCTGGAAGCCTGATCCATATTTGGGGGACAAAGGAGCTAAAGGGTATAAAGGGAAAGCTTCGTCCATATTCATCCCTCAGGATTTGGAGACTGACTCCCCTGAGTCACAGCACTAGTGCATCTGCAATAAAGGCTACTTTTTCTGAATATCCTCTGAGTGCCCGGCTGATTAATTCTCCTGTGCCGCCTGGCAGTTCATCTGCAACAGCTCCTGCAGCCCAGGGCACTCATTTGGGGGCAGTTCCAGATGCTGGCCATTAGACTAGAAGCACAAGCCCACAAAAGCCACAGCTTGAGGCACCCAAAGGGCTAAGAGCATCCCAGGAGGTCATAGCAGGGCTCTGCCTGGTCCCCTGCACTGGTTCCTAGTGTGAGAAAAAGCAATCCTGGGGCCAGCGGAGTCAAAAAGGCCCAAAAGCTTTAAAAAATGTCAGTTCATTAGAGTTCAAAGGAGACATTTGTTTTTCTAAACTAAAGGTGACCTGGAGGATTTTCTATGATTTATTTCATAAAATCATATATCTTTGAAACTGAAGGGATCTTAGAGACTATGGGCAACCTCCAAATATACACACATGTACTTGAGATTGAACCCCTTGCAACTTCTGTAGACAAGTATCGCCTTCTAGATGTTAAAGTCACTAGTAGGACAGTTATGATAGCTTTCTTTGTTAATATCTTTTTATTGTTTTGGTAACAATTATTTAACTTGTAAGACATATAAGACTTATAGGAAGAACAGAAAGTAATGTATCAGATGCACATGTTCCCATCAATAGTTTAAAAAGACATTAAGATATGATCAAAATTGGTTGAATTTTCTTTTCTGTACCAAAAAGATAATGTTATAAATTCAACTAAAGTGTCAGACTCCATTTTCATCTATCCTCCAGAAGGAATCACTCACTGAAGAAGGCTGTAGTATTTCTTAGCTTTTATCTTTTTTATTTTTTTGGTAATTTTGCTTCATTTGTATGTAAATATATACACACATAAATATTATCACTGCATATATATAGTTTTTCAATGATCTTGTTTTGCTCAACACTTCTTAGATAAATTATTTTGAGACTTTCAGATCTAATTTCTTTTAAGCAGCAGTATAGAATTGAGTTTCATAATATTTCCTGGGTGAGGTACACAGTTATGCTGTGTTCCTATTTTACTGTGAATCAAAACAGTGCCAATTGGATTTCATATCTGCTGTGTACCTAGGTAAAATTTTCCTAGGGCTGATGTGACATTGCTAGGTTGCAACATATGAGCATCTTCCACTTGTATAGGTTTACTTTTTTATAAATACATTTTAAAGAAATTCTTCACTCACAAAAAAGAGTACATGGGATTTTCTCTGCATCGCCCCGATTATTTCGTCCAGGCCGCCCCTCATTCTAGTCTCTTGATTCGTAGATATCGGAACACACGTGTTCTAGGTGTCCTGCCCAGATGAGGATTGTCTAGAAAATAATTTGGGTGGGTTTTTTTTTTGGTAAAAAGGTAAAGGTGTGTTGAATTTCTCTTAGATCCATCGCCTGATTCCCTTCATCCTTTTGTAACTTTCGAGTGGGCAGGCCTGCACCTCTGCCTGGGAGAATGCACTATTCCAGAGGTTTCCCCATCAGTGTGGTTTCCGGGGGGAGGTGACGCCTTGCATGTGTGGACATTTCCCTCAGGATAAGGCCAAGGTGAAAATCCGGAAGCTCAACGACCCCCCCAAGGCAGAGGCCATCCGGGACATGGTCCGATACGCGCGCAACGTCATCGAGGAGTTCCGGAGGGCCAAGCACTACAAGTATATCCTTGACAGCTGGGGGGAGTTCACCTGCATGAGGTGCTGGAGAGGTGGGAGGAGGGAGCAGGGGAGGGGCCGCAGGTGCTGGATGTCGGAGGAAGACTGTCCCCCGGTAAACGGGTGAAGGCTCACCGACCACCCATGACTTGGCGTCAACCACATCAGTGTCTAATGTCGATCTTATTTCTTCTCTTTGCTTGGCTGGTTTGGCCAGGAGCTCAATGTGGTGGACGTGTTATTGTCTAAAACTACAGAGAACGGTTCTTTGAAGGTGCTCATTTTGGGGGCACTTCTTTGGGGACAGTGCCAGGGCTTGGCTTATATTGCCTCACCTGGTCATCACCCTGTATTAGATACAGATAATTTGCCCAAAGGACACAGCTCCCCAGCAGACCCAGGATTCTGCCCCACGTCTGCTGGCCACCACAACCCATATTCCTAAAGCATTGTCTTGGGAGTTGAAAAGGCACGAGATAATTTATACTACGGGAAGCACTCAAACCAAGTAAAAGGAAGTTGGAGAAAGGCACGTTTATTTCTCAGCGTGAGAAAGAACTTTCCCAGGGTGGGGACTTCTTCCCTAAAAATGCTTCAGCTCAGCCTTGAGGGTTTACATTTAAGGAGGAGACTGCAGATTGGTGATTCTAATCAACATTGTTTACAGCTGATCTGAGGGTCTGTTGCTTGTGGCTGAAGTTCTTCTGTTGTATTTTAGCAGCTGAGGTCTTCAGATTTTCCCATTTGTTTCTTCAAGAAAAAATGTGATTCCTTTCCCTTTTGGTTGGCTTTCTGTAATTGACCTTTTCAGAGGGAGAGGGGACGGGTGGAATGAACAAAATGACTCCTTGGACCCAGCCTGCCTTGGGAGCTCTCCCGGCCTGTGTGGGCCATCCCGTCATTTCCTTGACCCCACAGCACCCCCTAGCGAGCTGCTGGAGATCTGCGAGCTCAGCCAGGAGAAGATGAGCTCCGTGTTTGAGGACAGTAACGTGTATATGCTGCACATGATGTACCAAGCCATGGGCGTCTGCTTGTACATCCAGGACTGGGAAGGAGCTCTGCGATACGGACAGAAAATCATTAAGCCCTACAGGTGATTGCCATGGCCATTCCGACCACCTTCGCACGGAATGGAGCCTGGTGGTTTGGAGTGCGTACCTAGGCGGTTTTGCCTTCTCCCTGTCCCGTGTTGGAGCATGCCCAGACCAGCTTTCTCTTCTCTGCACCCACATCCGGAGGTACAGGGCCAGGGTGCTGCTCCCGTGGGTCCTGCCTGTCCCCTCCACCATCTGGAAGAGACGCGTAGGATAGCAGGTAGAGGTTTTGCAGGGGTTGCTGGGGCAAGATTGGTCCCAGGACCTCCCCAGCTGCTATTCATTGTAGCTATTTCAGGCCAGTATTTAAAAGCCACCTGTTTGTTTGTTTTCATCATTATCCACACTCTCCCTCATGTTTTCCTAAACTGCAGCCCAGGTTGCTAATGAGGAAACTTTGGGGCCATTGGATTGGCTGTGGTTATTCAATATCCCGCCTGGGTTTGAAGAAATCAAGCTGGGTTTTACCGGATGGTAATTATGACTATCAGTCACGGGGCAGTTTCCTGTTGAGGGCTTATTAACCCTTAGGGTGGGTCACAGATGGAGGCCATGGCATTGTCCTCTGGCTCTGACTAGCCCAGCGGTTCTCAACCTGTGGGTCGCGACCCCTTTGGCGGTCGAACGACCCTTTCACAGGGGTCACCTAAGACCATCCTGCATATCAGATATTTACATTACGATTCATAGCAGTAGCAACATTACAGTTTTGAAGTAGCAACGAGAATAATTTTATGGTTGGGTCACAACATGAGGAACTGTATTTAAAGGGCCAGAAGGTTGAGAACCACTGCTCTAAGTGTTAAATAAGTATGACTCAAGACTTATGCTCAGATATAGCCCTTCAACCATCACCTCAAGTGCTATGGTTGGAAATAGATTATAAAATGTATGCTTTTAGACCTACCTCAAATTTAATTGTTCCACATGAAAATCTGTCTTTTCAAGAATAAATTCATCAGTGCATATGGCTGGATGCTCACAATTATAAAATGCTCAAAGCTCTCAAACACAACATGAAAGATGCAAGGTTCCAAGCTTTCTTGATAATATTTCTTCTAAGACTTTCCTTTTCAGGCACTGTTTGGAAGGGGTATGATAGTAGGGAAAAGGCCTTGCTTTGTTAACTGAATTAGAAACTAGTTATATTTTCTAAACCATCTCCTCTGAATCAGGTTTCATCTGGATTGCTGTCTGAAACCTATGACAAAGGGGTCTGTATATGGCCAATAAAAATTCCAAGTAATCTACCACCTATAGCCGCTGTCTTAACTTTAATTATCTGAGAATTTTAGAGTTTATAACTTCATTGTGGAGTAAGCACTGAGATGAAACATGGGAAGATTTTAGGTGAAAGAATTTATGAAGGATTAAAAATAAACAACAATTCATGTAATATCCAGGGTGCTTTCATATACATTTTTTACATAGTAACCTCCACCTCTAGAGGTTAGTAGTTATTGTTCCCATTTTACAGATGAGAAGGCTAAGACTATAGAGATTAAATCATTTGACTAAGACCACAGAGCTCGGTTCCAGATTCAATTATTTTATACTTAGTACTTATAACTCAATATAGTTATATGGCATTTACTTTTTAAGAATTATGTTATAGCAAACCTGTTAGAAGTTTATTCAAGGTATGTATAGGATCTTCAGTTTTCTCTCCAAACTCTCAGATTAAATCAGCATCTCTTGATCTTGCTTTGGATCAAACTGGAGGCCTTCAATTTTGTCATCTTCCTTGTTTTCTGACCTACATATACAAAGTCACGTGCATGGATTTAAAAGCAGCCACATTATAACTTACCTAGAGACAGTATGGTGTAGGAATTAAGAGTATAGTGTAGATTCTGGATTCAATTCCAAGCTCTGCATTTATTATTAATATGAATATATCCACGAATTACTTCACTTCAATATCCTCATCTATAAAATGGCTTTAATAACAGAACCCTCTGCACAGAGCTGTTGTGATAATTAAATGAATTACAAAGTGTCAGAGAAGAATGCTTGCCATAAACCAGCAGTCAGACATCCCTCTCACAATCCGGGACCACTAGTTCCTAACTGCTCACTTGCCTGCCTGCCTGAACACCCCTAATCACTCTACCTGCCGGCTTGATCGCCCCCAACTGCCACCTCCTTCCAGCCTGCTCACCCCAACTGCCCCCCTCCACTGGCCTGATCGCCCCTAACCGCCTCTGCCTCAGCCCCGCCACCATGGCTTTGTCCAAAAGGACATCTGGAAGGTCTCCTGGTCTAATTAGTATATTACCCTTTTATTAGTATAGACTAGTGGCCCGCTGCACAAAATTCATGCATGGGGGGGGGTGTCCCTCAGCCCAGCCTGTACCCTCTCCAATCTGGGACCTCTCGGGGAATGTCCGACTACTGGTTTAGGCCCTGTGGGATCGGGCTTAAACCGGCAGTCGGACATACCTCTCGCAATCCTGGACCACTAGCTCCTATCCGCTCACCTGCCTGCCTGCCTGATCGCCCCTAACCGCCTCTGCCTCGGCCCCTGCTGCCGCAGCTTCGTCCAGATGTTCAGCTGTCCAGTCTAATTAGCATATTATGCTTTTATTATTCTAGATTGTCTATGAATGCTTTGTCCCTATAACAGCAGTTATAGTTGCAACAGAGACTCTCTAGCCTGACAAGTATTTAATATCTGGCCTTTTATTTAAAAAAAAATTTGCAAACTTCTGATCTAGGGGCATCTTCACTTATCTGGCAGTTGATAACCTGTGGCTACTGCCCCCCCCCGCCAGCCTGCTTGCCCACAACTGCCCCCCTGCTGCCGGCCTGCTTGCCCACAACTGCCCTTCCCTCCTGGCCTTGGCCCCACCACCATGGCTTTGTCTGGACCGTTTCCTGGTCTAATTAGCATATTACCCTTTTATTAGTATAGATGCCACCCCAAGAAATTCAATAAAAATAAACAAACAAACAAACAAAATGGGTGTAAAGTCTTCCTTAGAGGCTTCTTCTTCATGGGCTTTTTAAATAAAGTTCATTGGGGTGACAGTGGTTAATAAAATTACATAGGCTTCATGTGTACAATCTATATGATACATCCTCTGTATAGTGCCTTGCTTTTGCCACCCAAAGTCAAGTCTCCTTCCATTACCTTATATTTGACCCCCTCTATCTTTTATCCTTTTCTAAAGCCAACAGGTCCTGGAGTTGCTCATGACAGTTATGACACAAGAATATGAACAAAATAGAGTTCTCCAGGTTAAAGTAATATCTGGCAAACACAGGTCATTCTCGTGAATGACTGCAGTGAGCTTCTGCTGCTGGGGACTGGGGAAACACAGCTCTTAGAACGTCTGTCAGGCACTCACCCCTGTGTCTGTGAGGCACGGATGGAGTCAACTGATGACATTTCCAAGGAAATGCAGGTGAAATCTAATTTTATGTATCATTTAATAATGAAGACATAAAACACACATCTGATCATGTATTCCTGCTAAGTTTTCCTTCTTCACCTACAGACCTCTGAGCCCACATCTCTTATTCACCACTTGATCCCTTGCAATTTCATCTCCTTCTTCATGGCTCCTTTCCTTTAAAACAGCGGTTCTCAACCTGTGGGTCACAACCCCTTTGGGGGTCGAATGACCCTTTCACAGGGGTCGCCTAAGACCATCGGAAAACACATATATAATTACATATTGTTTTTGTGATTAATCACTATGCTTTAATTATGTTCAATTTGTAACAATGAAATTACATCCTGCATATCAGATATTTACATTACGACTCATAACAGTAGCAAAATTACAGTTATGAAGTAGCAACGAAAATAATTTTATGGTTGGGGGTCACCACAACATGAGGAACTGTATTAAAGGGTCGCGGCATTAGGAAGGTTGAGAACCACTGCTTTAAAACATGAAACAAAACAAACAACTCAGAGCATTGACAACTAAAATGTACCGACTGATCCTTTGTGTGACTGCTTTTATTGTAATGATAGGATAGCCATCACATTGCTAAAACCATGAGCCATTTTGTCCTCCTTAGGTGGATTCTCGGTGGCATTAACCACTGCTGGCCATTCCCCTGGGTAGGGCTCACTAACCAATCATTTTATCTCATGTGAGATTTCGCCTTCATCTGCCTAACAAAGTACAGTGTTGTTCAATCATCCACCTTCACTTTCATTATCCCTTCGCTTATTATGATGTATTCAGTGACTTTATCGACCTCCCTGATTTAACTGCCATCTATTCAAAGTTGATAACTTTGAATATATGTATTTAGTCTTGATTCCCTGATGGAAAGAAAACCAATGTGAGCTTTTCCAGGAAATACAGGTTACGTTTTTATATGTTGAGATGTCCTTAAAAATATATCTTAGGAAATATTTACTTCTGATTTGTCTTTGTGTCTTTCCGGACAACAGGGGGATGAGAGTATGAGTGCGAGGGTGGGGGGTTTGGGGGTCAATGGGGGGATGAGGACACATTTTTAATACCTTAACCAATAAAGAAATTTAAAAAAAAAGAACTTAGAGGGTATTCAATACATATTGAATGGAAAATTTTCATTTCTTAAATATTTATAAAATGCAAAAGCAGCTACTCTATTTGCCTGTTTGAATTAGAAACTATAAATTTAATAATGCCAAGAATAACTTTTCAGGGAAAATACCTTCTCATAAATTGAAAAACTTTCATCCTTGTTTATGAAATACAGCAACAGAGCTCTGTGTGCCCCTGAAGAACAAGCCATGTGTTCCCAACACGTCCTCAGAACTGCAATTCATTACCCAGCTGTTCTGTGGTTAATGTAAATTACTATTCCTGGAAGAACCTACAGCTCTAATCAATCACTCAGAAGATCAGTAAGGCATTTGAGGAGATAGTGCTCCCCGTAAAGTCAACATTCCACATCTCTATTTCCATTACTTACTTGTGATCCTGGAAATAACTCCATGTTTGTTGTTCTTCGTTCCTCCTAATTTTAAAATAAGGCCTCATTAGGCAGTAAAAAGATTATATATGCAATATAACTTTTGAAGGAAAAGATAAATTATTATTGATAATAAAATAAATTATCTAATTTAGGATGGTTTTGCTCTAAATATTGAACCCATTGGATTCTAGTAGTAAACATAACTCTGGTGACAATGGTATACTAGGTGATTTCTTCCCCCCATGTCCCCCCCCACAAAAATCCTATAAAATAAAAGCCTAATATGCTTAGTGTCCAACCGTTCAACCAGTCGCTATGATGTGCACTGACCACCAGAGGGCAGATGCTCGACCAGTAGGTTAGCTTGCTGCTGGAGTCTGGCTGATCAGGACTGGGGGAGATGGGCTGGACATGCCCTGGTCCACCACCCCCTCCCACAGTCCCTCCCCAGCTGGCTGGCCCTGATTGGCCCCTATCAGCGAGAAGATGCAGGCTAGGCCGAGGGACCCTACTGGTGCACAAATCTGTGCACCAAGCCTCTAGTTCCTAATACTAGGCCAATGAAATAGGTATTATTATCGTTGCTTGGGAAATTAGGAAATTGCATAAGGCATCTAAGAAAAGGTTAGAGTAGAGGCACAGTGTGTGGGT